TAGATATCGGAGATCTCCTTACAAATTTGCTTCTCAATTTCCTGCTGACAGTTGGGGTGCCTACAATGCAATCTTGTAAGTGTCGTTCGGAGAAATTGAATCTGTGCTTCTTGGAGAGGAGATTTGAAAGAAATTTTCAAAATCGTGAGAGATCTGGACAGCGAATAGGGGAGAAACTGTTCCCACTGCCAAACAGATGGCGAAGCAGAAGTCATAGTTTTAAAATGGGAGGGGGGAAGCAAATGCGAGGGGGTGAGAAAGAAATCTCTTCACACTGAGGTGGTGTGGTATGGAATATAGTGCCTGGAAGTGTAATGAAAGTGAGTTTGTTGAAGTATTAAAGAGGTCATTGTGTCTGTTTTAAATCATCAAACAATGTGCAAGATTATGGATGAAATATATGCAAATTAGCAGCGTTAAAGTGCTCTGAGACAGTAGACATAATGGGCCAAATGGCTCCTTTCTTCACTTTAAGGATTCTGTTGCAGTAAGTTTCATGTTGAGGGTTGAAGACGTCCTGAAATAAAGCTTGACATTGACTTAAGATTCTTGGCACTCCGTATGCGTGCAACGCTGCTGGTTTTTCCAATATGCACGGTTCATGAATTGTCCTTTTTGCATTTTCCAGGACAAACTTTCCCTGTTTACTTTAGCTTATGATGGTTAAGGCAGATCAAAAGACTTTTGTTTTGAATTGAGGTGTTGCTGTACCTGTTTGAACTGCAGTGGTGTTGGATTTTATTTCATAGCACATTAAAGCTGAAGTATATACTCGGTGTGCGTACTTTGTGAAACCTGAGAGTGATTTAAAAGCTTAGAATGCCACAGCAAAATGGAAGGGAGGTGAATGATGGTGAACAGCTTTAGTGAAACAGACTAAACCACAGATGAAGTTGGATGGCTTTAGGTGTTCTCCTCCAAGTTTCCAGGATACAGTTTATACATTTCAGTTAAAACAAAGTATTGAGACTATTAAATGAAAGAGACACCAAGACCCTTTTCAAGGTATCTAAACCATTGTGAAATTTAATTTTACTTAAAATTTCTGTCTGTCCTTGCATGACACAATTTTCATGCCCCCACTGGTTCTGAAAGCAAAATTTAGAAGCATCATTGTGCCTTCTACTGTTTCACAAGTCCCAGATCCAGCCCTGGGATAGTTCTCTGCGTCCATTTTAAAATAATCAATCTGAGCAAGGTTTTCCCATCACTTCAACTTGATCATTAGCCCAGATATTGCAATCAGTAGTTAAGGGACGACACTCAATGTTGAACTTAACACAAGTTGCCACAAGAAGGTATCTCTATTATGATTTCAGGTTGCCCTGTCTGCATCTGGCACAGGACTTTGGTGTTCAGAAATGAAGTAGTCAGGTTGCGAAGCTAATCAGATTGTGAAGGTCTCACAGTCCTAAAACCAGGAAATAAAACTCAACTAATTATCAGTCACACATTTTCATGAGTGAAATGATTAAAAAATAAATTTGGATGTGTGGAAGATAGGTCAAAGCGCAAATATCTCAAAATTTGAAAAACAACACAGATCTGTGAATTTTTATGATGTCACAAAGGGAATGATGCTTCAAACTTCTAGAATGTTAGGTGATTGTGACTCATTCAGAAAGTTATCTTTTCCATGTTAATTCAGAGTGCACAGAATGTTGAGGTTCACATCACATCGTGAATTTTGGACTGAATTTGCAACAACTGCAACAATGCATTGTTTGTAGGAGTGAGCAGATAACTAGATTATCATCAGCAACATCAGTCTTCACGTTTAACTGCATGTTTACAGCTATCAGAAGTTCTGTTTTACACCATGATAGGATGAACACTGACCATTCAAATTATTCACATCTCGAAACAAATTCTGATCTATTGTATTTCTCTTGCAATGTATTTCAGACTGAGAGATTCTGCAACAGTAACGTGATCTTGCGGTCCCCTGTGCAGGATTTCATAGGCCTATGAAAACTCTGGAATAGTCCAGAGGTAACTCTTGTGCTCAAATACCAGTATCCTAGGTCTTTTAACTTCAAGCCTCCAGCATCTTTTGCCATTTTTCCATTGGGATAAAAGTAAGATAAATTACTTATAAATATTGGTGTGAAGGGGGAAAAGGAGTAAGCAATTAGGTAGGGATGAACTCCTCCTTACTTATTGCTTATATCCCTCCCACTATCTTCAACCTGTATCCCAACTTTTCCCTCACCACACTCTGTTTGTGAGGAAGAGTCACTGGACCCGAAATGTTGACTCCCTCTCTCCACAGATGCTGCCAGACCTGCGAGTTTCGTCAACTCTCTCTTTCTGTTTTTGTTTCAGATTTCTAGCATCCACAGTTCTTTGTTTCTTGTTTAAATATGGGGTTTGAGCATTTTGCATATGTTTTTCAATGACAGGCTATTGAAGTGTTCATGCACAGTCTTTGACATTGGTGCTTCCCGCATTTTTACACTGGGATAAAATTTCTTCACTCTGCATTAGTCTCCCCCCAGCCCTTCCAAATTCTAGCCTGTGTCATCTGAGCCTACGTAGAAGAGGTGCTGACTGTGCAAATGTTGGCTAGAGAGCCAGTTGAGAATTTTATAACACTGTAGTGCACTTGATGGTTTGAATGATGTTATAAACCATGAGGGGGAGAAAATACTTTAGTAGTATACACAATCATGCAAACTGAAAGGGTGTTTTATAGTTGGGAGCATGTTCCCAAGATGTTTACATTTATAATATTTACTGCCTCAATTGTACATGCTGGAGTAGATATGTCTCCAAATCCCTTTGCTGTCAGCTTGACTTCTGCGCTGGGAGCTGTTCAGTTTATGGTAGATGATGATGCCTTATACTGATAACTGGAATATCACTAAGTTAACATGAAAATGGAATGTGGAAATTAATGAAATGAAATGATATTTAACTTTGCATCCCAGTGCAATAAGAAATTACAATGTCAACATGCAGTCTCAATGTGAGATAACAAGGTATAGAGCTGGATGAACACAGCAGGCCAAGCAGCATCAGAGGAGCAGGAAGGCTGACGTTTCGGTCCAGGCTGATTCTCCAGCATCTGCAGTTCCTACTATCTCTGCAGTCTCAATGTGATGCTTCCACATCCCCGTCATGTCTCAAAGTCTTGCAAGGTTGTGAACAAATTGCCCCAATGAGTTTTGTCGATCTTCATTTGATATGGGAAGCTGGAATGTCTTTTAGGGTACAGTATGTCTGGACTCTGAGGTGTTCATGGGTATTCTATGCTGAAGATAGTGGAGGGGAAATAAGTGATAGGTGAAGATGGGTCCATCTCCACCTATCACTTACTGTTTTTTTTCTTCCCCCACCCCTTCGCCCCAATATTTATAAGTAACTTATTCTATTCGATGAGCTTCTTTTCAAAAGAAGTTTCAAAATTGAACTCTCAGGAGCCGTGTAATATTTTTGAACTAACAACACAAATATACGTTGATTTCTAGCCATCAAATGTGAAATAGCCTTACTGCTTTCTCTACTTGTTTATCATTTGGCTACTGGGAGATTTATGTGACATAAAGGACATGTTCATGGAGTGACCGTCAAAGGATTATTGTCCTTTTTTTAAAAACATGACTTTGAAAGAGGGGGCAGAAAAGTGCTTTGATTTATTTAAGCTGGCAGCTGCACACAAATATTGTAAACAGTTTGTACTTGCGAATGAAAGTGGGCTTGTTGTCAGCATTATTACCAGCTGCAGCAGTGGTGTCTTCTGAATGCAAATACTCTTCCTCCCCTTCCTCCCAAGTAGAATGTACTAGGAGTAGGCACCGTTGGCAAAGTTTCTTGTCTCTTGCAGGAAATTCTGTGCTTGAATAAGAGGTGATTTTAGTGTTTTGCACCACGTGGATTTTTTTGTATGATGGGCTCTCCATCTGAGGGAGCTGCTACGTGGGAAGGAAACTCTCTCGTCCACAACAGCTGCGGAGAATTGAATTGGGGCCAGCCTGGAGATGATCGGAGGTCGCATGTGCTCAAGGAAAGGGCAAGGTACAACCAGAATACAAAAAAACCATTGGGGAATGCATGAAAATGTCAATTGATATGTTCCCAAAATATTCTTGAAATGTGCTGTTGTCTTACAGCAACCAATTATGAAGCGGATGTTAACTAGAGCTTCACAGATGTAAGAATTTGTGCATTCTACACACTGTATCCTTATTTATGCAACTCAATCATGGAGAAATTATTTTCGTACAATCCCTACAGTGTGGGAGCAGGCCATTTAGCCCATCAAATCTACACTGACGCTACAAAGAGCATCCCACCCAGACCCTCGCCCTATCCCTGTGACCCTGCATTTCTAATGTCTAGTCCACCTAACAGGCACACCCCTGGACACTACGGGGCAGTGTAGCTTGGCCAGTCCACCTAACCTGTGTATCTTTGGACTGTAGGAGGAAGCCAGAGCACCCGGAAGAAACCCACGCAGACACGGGGAGAATGTGCAAACTCCACACAGACAATCACCCAAGGCTGGGATTGAACCTGGGTCCCTGGCATTGAGGCAGCAGTGCTAACCACTGAGTCTCCATGCTGCTGTGTTAATTAATGCTATGGGGAATATTCTGGCCAGGATACCTTACTGTAACAAGGGTAAATATCTCTAAATCAATGTCACCAGAAAGTTTCTATAAAAAGGAAGCTACAAGTCTGAGTATATACTGGAGTGATGGGATTTCATTTCTCAAAAGATTCTTCAATCAGCTGATCATCTGATCTTTTGGGTGGTTTGTCTTCCATGGTTTGTGTCCGTTAGTTCTTCTGTCCACTTCTCCCAATGTTCTCCAATACTTGTGTGAGGTAATGAAAGTGTTTCCTGAGACAGGAAATTGACTTTTTGAATGAAAGGTTCATTTGTACCATTACTTTCAATTTACAAGTTAATATTGATGAGGTGATTTAGAGAAGTTTAATTAGTGTCATTTCTCTGTTTGTATAGTTACCATAGAAGCAATGAAATCTGACGCATGTGCTTTTATGGCAGTGTTTTATTGTGCATGAAGCCAAACAAAGCTGGAGGATTCTAAACTTGCATCTTGATTTACTGAAAGCATGCTCAGACCAATAAAACCCTTCGTAGTTACAAAACTAAAGTGTGTAATTTCTTGTATGATTATGTATCCACCAGAAAGTGACGTTGAAGTGATTTGGTGCAAGCATTTGTTCCAAGTGCTCGTATGTATTTGTGGTTTTCGTTGGAATTGATAATAGCAGGCGATTTATTCAGTCTTCTGTATCTTGTGGTTGGTGTCAGCTTGATGTTGACTCTTGGAACGTAGAAAATCGGGGCAGGAATAGACCACACAGCCTATTGAGTCAGCTCTGCCACTCAGTAAGATCATGACTGATGTCTGCCTCAACTCAACTCCATTTCTTTGTCTGCCTGTGTCCCGTGAGCAGATAAGTAGCATTTTTGTAATAGATGTTGTGTAGCACCAAACTAAGGCAGGATGAAAGGAAAGTTACTTTCTTGGAGAAAAGACAGACACAAGGAAAATTTGAAACAGCAATCGGAAATGTTGGCCATGCCCTTGAGCTCAGAACGGTAATGTGATAGAGTTCATACTCAAAAATTGCCCTCTCCCTCCGATTATTAATTGACCTGATATTTGTGTCTGCCTTTTGAGGAGGCATGGTTTCCCAAGAATCATACCAAAGTTTAAAGAATGAGACTGAGGCCAAGCTGCGTAATCTTTAGCTCTACTCCTTTGATTTCAGAAGAATGGATAATTTAACTGATAACACAATCCATAATCACTAAGGATATGAATCCAGCAGAGAAACTCGAGTGAAAGAAAGCTTTAACTTTAAATTTAGAGGTAGATCATTTAGAAGTACATTTAAAGGATTTTTCATATGAAGATCCGTGAAAATCTGGAACCCTCTCAGCAAAAGTCTTGGATGCTGGATCAGTTGGAATTGGCAAGTAGCTGGAGTATTAGATTTTTGTTAAGAGTTAAGTTATGAAAGGCCTTGGAGATAATCGGATAAGTGAAAGTACAGTTCAACCATGATCCTAATGAATGTTGGAATATGCATGAGGGCTGAGTAGTTTGCTGCTGTGCCTGTTTTCCATTTGCAGATTTTTTTTGTCAAACTTAGAGACATTATCCGGTTGAAACAACTTTGGCATTCATTTGACTTATCAGTTTTCTAATTTTTAAGCCTTCAAAAATTAAAAAACTGATAAGTTATTAAATTTTAATATTTGCATGTATAAGTCAAACTTCTATTTTCTGTTTGTCAGAATCTCTTGATTCTTTTACACAAAATATTTGCCTTCACCTTTTCTTAACTCCTTCCTTTCACCTATACTCCTAACATACTATATTTTTTTCTTTATTCATCCTGGTGAGGCAGCATTTATTGCCAATCCCTAATTGCCCAGAGGGCAGTTAAGAGTTAACCCAATTGCTGTGGGTCTGGAGTCACATGTAGGCCAGATCAGGTAAGGATGGCAGTTTCCTTCCCTAAAGGACATTAGTGAACCAGATGGGATTTTCTGACAATCAACAATGGATTCACAGTCTTCATTAGACTCTTAATTCCAGATATTTATTGAATTCCAATTCCAATTCCACTATCTGCCATGGTGGGATTCGAATCTGGGTCTCTGGATTAACAGTCCAGTGATAATACCACTAGGCCATTGCCTCCCCAACATGCAGTTGCCATTTGCCCTATGTGTTTTCAGGCTGTCTAAGAGGGGAGCAGGTGATGTAGAAATACAAAATGTCAGGGAAATAAACTGTAAAGTGCTTTAAAATCTCTTCTTCACATGCTTGTTGTTAGAAAATAGCTACTGAATCCTTGAGGATGTGTGTGCTGGATGATAGATTACTTTTCTATTTCTTTCACACAAAACTAAGAACCATGCAGACTGAACCCAGATCCTTCTACTTGATTCCTTGAGTTTATATGCATGTGAATTGACCTTAAAGTTGAGAAAAGGTGATGGAATTCTAGTTTCTCTCGTAGCATTTTGCAGCATTGATATTCTGATGGCTCAACCCATGGTATGACAACTGCTAAGTTCGTTTCAGTATGAAAGTTGCAATTACTGTGCTACAGAATGGAATAACTGCCTTGCTAGAGGGCATTGTACCAATGAAAATGGTCTTGAAACTTATTTGACATCTATTGGAACCAGTACAACCATTTACTAGGAGTCCACAGTTCAGCTAGGAACTCTTAATTTGGTTTGTGATGGAGTAGTGAGAAACAGCAGTAAACATCCCAGAGGAGGTGAAGTTTTAAGGTTGCCAAAATGTGTTAATGGGTAATAACTAAATGTATTATTAAAGAAATGACTCACCAACCGATCTGCTATTCTTGGCAAAGGTCACGCTTGGCAGTTAATGACTCAAGATGGTGGAGGATAGCCATCAGTAATGAAAAACAGAAACACGCAATGTTGAATTTTACTAACAGTTGTTGTTTTCTTTGTCATGAATCTCTCTGGATCCTGATTTTAAATCTCGTAATCTAAAGTCTGTTTTTTTTTTTCGCTGAGATTAGATGTTCAAATTGGTTTGAGCTCCAGAATCATTGCATCCAGCGTTTGGGCCAGGCGGTTATTTCACTAGGCCTTTTACAACGAGCACTTGTTTGTTTTCTCTGCACCAACGGAAGTGCCACACCAAAGCCACTTAGAGTTCCACCCTCAAAGATTGCAACAGGAAATATAGAATGTGTAACCGAAGGCACGTTGTTGATTAAAATCCAGATGAATGACAGCTACAGAATGAAAGTGATCAGTCTTGGATAAAGTTCAGTCACGTTTTTGTTCTTTTCTGAAATAAAAGCTATTTAATTTGAACTAGTGGCGATATTAAATCGCATGCAACATGCACAGTACAGAAATCAACCAAACAGCCTAATCGGTCCATGCCTGTGTTTATGTTCCATGCAAGCCTCCTCCCATCCTGCACCATCCAATCCTATTCAGATAGCCCTCCATTCCTTTCTACCTCAGATATTTATCTAGCTTCCCCAACTATTCCCTGTAGTAACAAGTTTCACATTCTTACCCCTGTCTTGGTAAAGAAGTTTTATTTCCCCTCACTTCCCCATTGATTTTGTGACTGCCTAATGCTGATGGTCTCCAGTTTCTCTTTTCCATGCAAATTGAAGCATATCCTTTGTCTGTTTTATTAAAACTTCTTATAATTTTAAAGAGGTCAATTATTTTGCTTCTCTGCCTGCACTTTGGAAGAGGACAAAGACCTAGCCTGATCATTCCTTTTTTGATAATTGTAACTTCACAGTTCTTGTTTCATTCTTACTAGTTTCTGTGCACATACCCTATACCCATTGATTTGAAGATGGCAGCAGAGTAGCAGGGCTGTGTGTGAGCTCATCTGCTCCCACATGCCCGCTCTTTTTTTTCTCTTGCTCCTTCTCTTTGTTTTTTTCTTACTTTCGTTTTTCCTTGGAGCCGTTTGCGGCAGGTTAGGCAGCGTAATCAGTGTGACAGCTAGAGCGGTCCATGTCCAGAATGGTAGCTCCTCCCAGCGGTCCGAGGCAGCAGTGAATACCACACCTTGTGGTGACGGCAGTGGCAGCAGGGGTGCTCTCCTGGCTTTTGGTGCTGGGAGCGGCAGTAGCAACAAAGGTCCTGCAGCGATCAGAGGCAACAGCAACTACAATGGCAGACTTTTCAAGATGATGGCACTGGCAAGGTAGCAAATCAGGAGGGCAGCTGGAGCAGGACTATTGGCAAGAGGACAATGGCGGCCTGGTCTGGCAGCGGAGCCAGGGACTCCTGGTGTTGGCAAGACAGCGGCTGCAGCCAGTGGCAGCATGGTATGCCCAGAACAGGGTCTCCTGGCATTGATGAAGTGGCAGTGGAGCCAGGGACTCCTGATTGCAAAGGGAGTATGGGTTCAGCACAGGATGCTGCATCAGTGAGGTGGGACTAGGGACAAAGAGATGGAGCTTAGAGCGGTCACTCCTCCATTGGTGGATCCAGCGCAGGTGGTGGTGCAGGTATTGTTGATGAGTCGGCTGAGGACTCTTTCAGTTATGTCTTTTTTTATTCTTAAACTATCCAAAATGGCCCTGGATTGTGGCAACAGTTGAAGCCTTTCACTGTATATTACTGCATTATTCAATGTAAAATGCAAGTGACAATGAATAAACCATTCATTATAACTTTTATAATATAGCAACCAGAGCTCTACCTAGTAACCAAAATAACGAAATTTAGTATAATTTTTCTTATTTTCAGTTCTGTCCTCCAGGAATATGCCTAGTGCTTGGCTTTCTTCTATTTTAAGCAGCTGCGTTAAACTTTGTTTTATTCAGTGTTCTCTTTTTGTAACTATACACGAAGATCCCTTTGTCCTTTAATTGGGAAAAAAAATGTATATACAGTAAATGTGTGACCTCCCTTTTTCTTTGAAGTGTGACATTTTACCTATGTCAAAATTGATTTTCCATTTATACCAAAACTATTTTGGATTCTCCAGCCTAAATTATTTCTGCAAGTGTTAGCAATTTCAGGTATTTAATGACTGAGCAGGAGGCCATTCAGCCCATTGTGTCTGTGCCAGCTCTATGGATGTGACATAAAATGATGGAAACGGGTGCTGGGTAATGGATTCTCTTTCCTACTTTGTGAAGCCAGTATTAGCATTAAACAATCCTAAATCAAAAACTGTTTTTGATAGAAACAGTGGGGGCCCATGTACTTGACCCCACTTTAAATGATCGATAATCACAAAAAGCCAAGTTCAGCTTTCAGTCAAGTTTATGGTTTTGATGCCAAACGCTCTGGGTGATTTTGTGCTGAACGCTCATGCTTGATCCCGAGAGGAGTTGACTACGTAGATGTGGACCAGATGTTTCCTCTTGTGGGAGAATCTAGAGCCAAGGGGGTCATAGTTCTAAACTAAAGGGTTGCCCATTTAAGAGATGAGGAAACTTTTTGTTTTTTTACTGAGGGTTGATTGTCTTTGGAATTCCCTTCCTCAAAACACAGGAACTTCAAAAATTTTTAAGGTGGAGAGAGAGATTCTTGATTACCAAGGGCATGAAAGATTATTGTAGTGGGTTTTCAGGAATGTAGCATTGATGTTAAAATCAAATCAACCCATGATCTTATTGAATAGCAAACCAGGTTCCAAGGGCCAACGGTTCCCTTGTTCATAAGAATTGTTTACCTAGGATCAGGAGAGGAAATTTTCATCTGGATTCCTGAATTGGTTGAGGAAGAGAGGAGAAACAGAGTTCTACCTGATGGCGGAACGGTGGTTCAGTGGTTAACACTGCTGCATTACAGCACCAAGGACCTGGGTTCAATTCTACCCTCTGGCGACTGTCTGTGTGGAGTTTGCACATTCTCCCTGTGTCTGTGTGGGTTTCCTCCCACAGTCCAAAGATGTGCAAATTAGGTGGCTTGGCCATGCTAAATTGTCCCACAGTGTCCAGGGATGTGCAGACCAGATTGATTAGCCATGGGAAATGCAGGTTTACATGGACAGGGTGGGGTAGGGTAGGGGAAGGGGTCTGGGTAGATACTCTTTGGAGTGTTGGTGTGTACTCGATAGGCCAAATGGTCTGTTTCCACACAGTAGGGATTCTAATTGTACAGCACTTCATTTTAATGTCAGCATTAAATTGAGCATATTCAGCTGTTTCATCATTTTATTTTAGGAGCTGGTTAATTTGCTGATGACCATTGACGTTCTCAATAATTGTGTGAAACTTTGGCAGAGGACACTACATCGATCCCTTAGGTGATTTGTCAGTGTATTTTCACAAATGCAAAAGACCTAGACTTCACAATTCCATATCTGTCAGCAAAGCAAATGCAGGAGTACAGTGGTAATAGGGACTGCAGATGCTGGAAAATCTGAGATAACAAGGTGTAGAGCTGGATGAACACAGCAGGCCAAGCAGCATCATAGGAGCAGGAAGGCTGACGTTTCAGGCCTAG